ACTGAGCGGTGCAAATGGAGTAAAGGCTTCAGGTACTTCACCAAAAGCAGACAAATTGTGATAGGGTTTCATATGTAACAGAAAGAAATAACTTTGTTGCTATGATTACAACTCAAATGTGTTTAAGTGCAAACCTTCCAACCAAGGGGCCGGAGTTCCACAGATTCTCTAGCTGTTTCCTGAAATTGTTTTGCAAGAGAATAGCCACCTTTCAGGAATCAACTGGAGAGAGAATCTGCAGAATCAGCCTTTCTATGCAAATTTGATACTATTGCATATAGCATGAACAAAGACATGAACTGGATGGTCCATTATAGTCATCACCCAAATGACATCAAAAGCTAAGCATCAGGCACTTACAGCCCACTCTATGAGCCTCATTTAGCATGGACACTTTAATTGACAGGGTTTTTTTTTCCTTTTTTTCCCCTTTTTCTTCCTTTGTTTCTCCTCCTCTCCCCTCTTTCTCTGCTTTATATTAAAAAAATCTGGGTCCCTTGCTCAATATTTGTCATCTGACCAAGTGGGTTTTTCCTATGAAATCTCACGATGCTATTTATATATTTTTGTTAGTCTTTAAGGTGCTACAGGACCATTGTTGTTTTTAAGGTGTTTGGGCAGAGAGTTCAACATGCAAATCTGAGGCCAGAATGTCATCCAAACATGAGATTGGTTATACCTGTACTTCACATAACAAATCTATTTTCCTTATTATTCTATAGAACCATAGACTTAATATACTACAATATAAAATAAAAGGAAGAAAATGTATGGAATGAAAGCAAGTGCTGCCTTCCTGCTCATTTGAAAACTATAGTTTGACTAAAGTGAAAACCATTATTCTTTAACACATAAGTATTTATTTCTTGTATTAATAAACTTGAAATATGCATCATTGTCTTGGCATCACAGTGTACTTTCTTCATCTTTTTGATCTTATTGAAGGGCATTATTATTATCATGGAAGTACTGTATCAGTAATGACAGGAATAACTTAGCAAGTAAAGATCATTATTTTTTAAAGTCAAATTCTCTTTTTTGTATCTTCCTATACACAGTGAACAAGATATCATTAGTAAAATATGAAAAGAAACATGGGCTAAAGTAAGCTAGCTTCCCTGATCAGTAAGGTCATTCCTTGTTAATAATCATTTAGTTGTTCTTGATTTAAAGGGGAACTAAATGTGGATTTCTTGGTTTGTATCAGGAATGTCAAGAAGATTAAAAACTTGATTTGACCCAAGACCTTGAGCAAGAATAGGGTCTCATTTATTCTTTCTTGCCTGGTATTTCTCAGTTCTGATGTTCTGCCTCTATGGATTCAGTAACATGATACATTTGTCCACCTATATTTCAACTTTGGGTGCAAGAACAACTAAAGTCTGAGAAAAGAATGAGAAGAAAACACTCAGGAATCTTTGCTGTTTCCCCCCTTCTTCCGCCCCCCCTGTCAGCCGATGGTCAGGGCAGTATGTGTGAGTGTGTTACACCTCAGTCTTTAACTGCTGGGATACAAGGCCCCGTCGCAGTGGGCAGCCAACAGGCTGACAGATGCCCCAGAGTTTATAGGAAGAGCTTATTACATCTCAGATTTTAACTGCTAGGATACAAGATCCCTTCGCAGTGGGCAGCCTAGGGAAAACTGAGAGATGCCCCTACGGATCTGTCCCCTGGAAGCGACAAAAGTGTCCGGAGAGGAAGATTTAAGGGGGGAAAGGGTTGTACAAGAAACAATGGTGTGGAACAATGTATGTGCCCAGAAAACACAGATCACAAATAGCTTATTGAGATTTTGTTTTATTTTATTTATTTCCTACAAAGGGCACATGGAAGCAGTTCCAAGACTTCTTGAGTCAGAGTTCCAAAGGGAAGCTAAAGTCATCTTTTAAGAGTGTCCATTCCCTACTTTTTTTTTATGTGGCAATACAGGTCACAGTAACTTAAGGTCAAATCCTGGCCTCACAGAAGTCAATGGGAATTTGGATATATGCTTCAATGGAGCCAAAATTTACCCCTTTGTACTTAGAGATAGAAAATAGAGTCATCCATCTCTGCGAGCAAGATATAATCCTCCATTTATGTATAATTATGTCTCAGAGGCTTAACTATTTACAGTTGATCTTTGTCATAAGGTCAACTGAAGGAAAGGCACTATAACAGTGACTAATTTGGAAGTTAATTTATGTACAAAGAATACTGAGGAATAGTGTTGGCTAAAGGAAGAAGTCTTGTGTGAGCAGAATGCTAAATTCAGAGAAAGAGTCCACATCCTTATCACGA